GGAAGGTAGTATGGGCCCGTACTACTGAAAGCACAGGACCCATATGCGTATCAGGGAAACCATGACCTCTAAGGTTGGGTAGAGAGTTGGTTCCCGGGATAATGGGAAGAGTCTGAGGTTTTCTAGTATGTTTTCAGTATGGAGATTTCGAGGCATGCTGGAAGAGGATCCGGGTCAGGATCGGGTACAGGAGGAGGAGTTGCGGACGGGTCAGTATCGCCCGAGGTTATCGGTCAAATGAGTACGCACGAGTTGGATGCGAGGATTCGTGAGAGCCTGCATGATGAGGTTGCTGCATTGTTCCGGGCCGAGCTGCCGGAACTGTTTGGGTCGATCAAGACCGCCATGGTGGAGTATTTTGATGAGTGCTATGCGGCTCTCACGGAGACGGCTGCCGCGGTGGCTACAGTGGAGGTAGCAGTGGCAGGGGGAGGAGCTGATAGGGATTTTCAGTATCGGGACTTCGATAATACGGAGCCTCCCACCTTCGATGGGGTTCAGAACCCGATTGTTGCTATGAGATGGTTATCGGACGTGGAGGGGTGTTTCTTCACGTGTTCATGCACTGCTGATCTGAGGGTGAGGTGTGCTCTGAACCTGTTGAGGCTCGGGGCGAAGGATTGGTGGAGATTGACCACGGGGTCATACTCGGATGCGCAGAGGGTTGCGGTTTCATGGGATCAGTTCAGAGAGATGTTCAGCGCTCGCTATGTTCCGCAGGATGAGAGGGAAATATTGGCTCAAGAGTTCCTTGAGCTGAAGCAGGATTCGGAGTCGGTGACTGAGATCACCAGGATGTTCACTAAGAGGGCGATGTTTTTGCCCTAAGTTCGCTTCAGAGCAGGCTCAGATGTCCCGATATCTGAGTATGCTCAAGGGGGGATATCAGACAGTTTGTGTCTGCGCAGGGGTGCGGGACATTGTTGGAGTTGCAGGAGGCCGCTAGGCGGCGTGAGTTAGAGATTAAGTTGCAGTTGCGTGAGCTGAGGCAGGCTCCGGTGCAGTCACGGCCGGCGCCGAAATGGTCCAAGACCGTTGATGTTAAAGTGGGGGATCTGAGCAGCCACACTTGTGGGAAGTGTGGGAGGAGTCGCACCGGAGTTTGCAGGTCCGGTGGTGCATGCCGCAAGTGCGGAAAGGAGGGGCACTATGCGAGGGATTGTCGACGGTCAGCGCCGGTTCGGGATTTGAGGATTTTCTATCATGGTCGTCAGGTTGGACATATGAGGGTCAACTGTCCACAACTTTCCGTGGGACCGGTGCAGGCTCCAGCACCGGCCACTTTGAGGATTTCAGGAGAAGGTTAGGGTGGAGCGGAGCCCCCAAGGGCTCAGGGTCGTGCTTATCAGCTTGCGGCAGAGGAGGTCAGCGCAGTGCCGGATGCAGTTGCAGGTATGTTTCTTTCTTGATGTCATGTTATCCTGCGATTATTATGGCGTATTGTTGTGCTGGTATCTTTGTGTGGTTTTCGATGCGGTATTCGTCGTCTTGCGGGTTGAGGTTTTGGTTATGGATTCGTGTTTCGGGTTTTCGTCTTGATATCCATTGTTCCTTGAGGGTTTGGCATGGTTATGGATTCGTGTTTCGGATTTTCGTCTTGGTATCCGTTGTTCCTTGAGGGTTTGGCATGGTTATGGATTCGTGTTTCGGGTTTTCATCTTGATATCCGTTGTTCCTTGAGAGTTTGGCATGGTTATGGATTCGTGTTTCGGGTTTTCGTCTTGGTATCCGTTGTTCCTTGAGGGTTTGACATGGTTATGGATTCGTGTTTCGGGTTTTCGTCTTGGTATCCGTTGTTCCCTGAAGGTTTGGTATGGTTACAATTTGGTGTTTTGTGCTTTCGTTGGTTATCATTCGTGAGGGTTATTAGTGGAGATGCGATATTGGGTTGAAGGTCGGGTAGCATCGGCTTCCCGAAGAGTGGTTAGATACAGTTTGATTTTATTTCGAGCGGGCTAATCAGTGTTGATGTGAGATCTCGTTAAGGTTGTTTATGGTTGTGGGAAGCAGTCCACGTGTAAGTGTTTTCTTTGTGCAGGGTTGTTCTGGAAGGTCGGTGATGGCGACCGGTGGTTGTTAATCAGTGCTATAAGTGGGGGAGAGTTGGAGAACTCTCTGGGAGATTGATGAGTATTTTAGAGTGCTTAGCTGTTGGGATTCAGCAGTGTTCTGTCAGCCCAGAGTATAGGCTGATTGGAGCAAGTGTCGGGCATGCGGGGCGGGATACAGACCTAGGGCACTTGATTGTGGAGGTCGGGGAGTAGGCTGGGATCGAGTATGTATGATGGACTTAGAGTTCGGAACCCCCTAGAGGGCTAGAACGGTATGCATGGGAGGGTTTCCGGGGGTGACAGCTCGGAATGATGAAAGCTAGTTGAGCGGTCCAGAATGGGCTGAAGGCCTGGTAAGACGGTCCAGTCATGCTGAAGACTCTGCGGGTATTGTTGGATCAGTTTGAGGATATGGATTGGGTATGTCGCAGTGTGTTTGCATTAGAAGGTCTGGCCCCGGGTAGTGATCTTGATGAGTTGAGATAGTACATGGGCTTGAGAGTCCCTGCGACGAGAGTCAGAGTATGTGTGTTGGATGGATAGCGGATACGCTATGAAAGGGGTGGTGTAGCGTTGGGCGAGCACCGTGGCACTTGTCAGAGTGACAATGTGGTCGAGTGGTTTCCTTAGTAAAGGAAGAGAGAGTGAGGTGTAACTCCGAGAGGGAGTGCAAGTTCGCGGAAGGGAAAGCGGCAGAGCAGAGTTATGATTTGAGTGATTCGAGTATGGTTTTTGAACAGCATG